ATAATTGTTGAACTACGGATGCACCTCAATAATACCATCGAAAAAAGGTCGTTATTAATGTTGAAAAACCATTTGATTGATCATCTCGACATCGAGATGTATGACCATGATAAATAAAAAGATTTTAAGTCTCAGAAATAGTGTATTTTACAACATAGTATCTATACCGTCCATTTTCAATATTTTCTTATGTTTATAGATTTACTTTATTTTAACCATTTTTAAAATTTAAAATTTTATAATTAGATATAAAAATAGATTTTGAGATAATCCTAAAAACATTTTATATCAAAATTACATACCATGATAAAATTTGAAGGTGCACCTTACCTCTACAGCTACGGATGCATCCATATGCCAACTGCACCATATATATATATATATATAGGGAGCAAAGTTGGATCTTGGGAGTATCTATAATTCTCCCTTCAATCTTAAGCTCTTACCTCCCTCATATATGTATGAGAAGGTCAGTATAGCGAGCAAAAACTTTTTCAATCCTGCAAAAGAATACACAAAAGAAAAAAAAAAAATGAAAGAGATTGAGTCATGATCAACCAAATAGTGAAAAAAAAAAAAGAGAATAAAGGATTAGTTTCTTGACCACTTGTCCCCCAGAGAAGACACTGAGCTTTCCACTTTTGGATGACATTATCCACATCACATAGAACTGATAGCTCATAAGCGTTCTTGATAATGTCATTTTTCCTCTTTGAATATGTCACTTGCCCATTTGTTTTGCTCTCTATCATCTTCATTTCAAGCTTTCCTCACCCCATTTTCTCCTTGGGTGCCATTGCTAGACCAAATAGAACAATACTTCCCTTTGAGTAAAAATGAGAGAGCTACTTCTCTTTAAGGAAAAATGAGAGAGCAATTCAGACCATTTTATAAGCAAAAATAATAATACTTGGTTTGAGTAAAAATAAGAAAGCAAAGCGAGGGCTCAAAATAGCTGAATTCATTATAAGGTTCTGCATCCATTGTAGATAAGTATAGAAAATGGAATCACGGGTAAAAGAAAATTTTGACATTCACAGGTATGTAGGTGCATTTTAGAGAGAGAGAAAGATAAAGTGTGTAACATGAGTTTATTGCATGTTTTGACTTTGTCCAATGTGTTTTAAATCTTCCAAGGGAATTGCTATTCTTACTCATCTCTAGCATAAAATAATTCCTTACCTTTTCATCATCTATAATTCGATGTAATTGGGGAATAACTAATAAGTATAATTGGTGATGATTATTGATTAAGTATGCCCCTGTAATGAAGAACATAATAAAATCCATTACAGTTTAGGTCTAGAAGGAAACCAACTATAGGCATACTACACTTGGAAGTTATATTTAGAAAGTAATATTTAGACAAAAATAATTGCTTAGGAGCAAATAATAAGGCAGATATTCACGACGTACAAAACCAATATTTAAATGATGTTAGTAAGTTGGGGCTTTTAAAAAAAAAATTAAAATAGCTTTGTGAAAATAATTGTACGATAGTAATAAAACTCAAATTAAGGCTCTACATAGCATCCTAAGCCCCTCAAGTCATTAGACCTTTACTTTCGTAGTTGATTTATTCATAAACAATCATCCTCAAAGACTGTTAATAGTTAATAAAAATCCTAAAGATATCTAAAGACAGAGCATTGCAACTCATCATGAATTTTTTTAAAAAAAGGACCAAAAATTAATAACTTCAAGTTCAATAAGAAAATGAAATAGTTTATAGGCCTTAAACAATAAAATAAGCTGCACATTAAAATTTCACTAGAAAAAGTTGTTTTGATGTCAAAAAACTTTCAAATCAACCATCTTGAGATTTATAGGAATGAAAAAACATGGATTTAAGTTTTGGGAATTAGTACATACTGTAAATGCATTATTTGGGCTATCCATTTTCTAGATTTTTAAATATATAGATCTTTTGTTACTGAAAAATCTATCTTTTGACACTATTTAAAGGTACCTTTTACTTTATTGTTTTGGGCCTCAACCTTATATTAAAAACATGTTTTTTTTTCTTTTTACTTAGATACTTAAGTTTAGATACATACCAGTCCATACTTGACTGATATTGGAACACATGTGCAACAATGGTAGTAATAGTACAGGTTGTTTAAAAATGCTTCAACAATATTTGTATGAAAATAATTTTCTACGACAGGAATGTCACAAGTTGAAAAAGCTTCTATATTTTTTATGAGTAATGATCCTATAGGACTCTTACACACTCATGTGTGTAGGACTTTAAAGGATCACCATTAAAATTGGCATGGATATCTAGAAAAGTTATCACATGGGTGTAGGACTGGATTTTTCTATAGATCCGTACCAAATTTAATGGTGATCTTTTGAAGTCCTATACGTATGGGTGAATGAGGATCCTATAAGATCATTTATTTATTTTTATACGAACAATACTTCTTAATTAGTTGGTGTCATTTATGGAAGAAGGATAGGGTTTACATACAATCCGTACATTGGTATGTGGGCCGTGTAAAAAACCACAAGTATGAATAGTTAGGTATAAGGTGGTTAATATTACCTACTATTTACCTTATAATTAATGATGCGAAGTTAGAATCTCGTATAATATTATAAACAAGCATGTCTTGTGAAGAGCTACTCTTTACTTGAAGTGGGATCACTAAATTTGTACCGAAGTCTCACACTACATCACAGAACTTTTGAATTTAACATGTTCGTTGAGCCTAAAATGTTAGAGTTAGAAATCAAGGAGCAAATAGATAAACACAAATTTTGAGAAAGCCAACAAACAAGAACTTTTCAATATTCTCATTATCGCATGCATTAAATATGCACCATAAACACTCTTACCTCTTGGAAAAAATTCCTAAAAAATATTAATACTTGTTTTATTCATTCATTTACATTTTTCTACACCTAAGTTTTGAGAGAAACGTTTCTTAAGTGGCCTTGCTTTGTGATCTAGAATCAAACCATCCCCATCCTCATGCCCAATATTTTCTTTTCATTTAGATAACAATTCAAGTCTTTTTAGATAACAATTCAAGTCTTTTAGTAAGCTTTCTGATAGCTATATTATTGAAGGTGTTTTCCCCTGAAAAGTAAGTATGGAAAGCTGAATGAAGTCCCCATGAATAGTAGGGGTCCACATCCACATGGAAAAACCGTCAATAGGCTCCATTCCTGATGCAGTAAAAAAGATAAAATTATTGTTAATGTCCTTGGTATTGTGAAAATCACAGCACTACTCCAAAACCCACGACCCTTTACCACAGACTTTGATGCATTTGATGTGTTATAAAATGTAATTTTTTGTGTATATTTTTTAGTAGCGTTTGTTTTCTAAAATATGGAGGCTATCTAATTGCTCCTAGCATTTACTCTTAACATTTTTGAGCTCACTAAGTATTAGAATTCAAATCTTTGTTCTTCATGCCAAATTCGACAACTTGGCATGTGTTACAAAATTCAAAAAGCATTTTTTGAACTTTAACCTAATCATTGAGGCACCCTTAGCGACTTCATCACAAACCTAACAATTAAAAGTGATTGCGACCTTCGTGTATAAAAAAAAAATTTATTCTTATTATATACTTTTTCATCTCTGAAGCCTAGGTGTACACCGCTTTTAATTTTTAGAGAGAGATTATTTCAAAATTTCAAGTTTGATGTGTTCTCTCTATGTGCCTATTTCCAATTGTATTTGCAAAACATGGGAAAAAGCATACTTATGGATTCTTTTCCCATAAATTGTTTAAATATGTAAATATTTTTCATGTAAATATTCAAACTTTTACCAAATGACCCCTAATAGCAAACTAGGTTATACAAAAAAAA